AGAACAGTAATTTAATATTTTTTCCATAAAATAATTAAAAACTTAAATAACTAAATAAAATCTTCTTCATCAACCCCCGCCCCCAAATAAAAGGGACCACAAACCCCACCCCTACCAAAACCTACAGCCACTGCCCATCGCTATCTCTCCGTTCACCGGATTAGAATGAGATACGCACTTTCCACATTCTATATCCTCAAAATTGAAATCGAACCACATCAACCATCACCTCCACCACCATTGAGGCCATTCCAAAAAAAAAATTTGCCAGAAATAGATAAAACAATGAGATAATCCTAATTCAACCATAGATCTTGAATTGGAAATCCAATTTCTCTTTCAAATATTCATTTAATTCCCAGAGAAATTCTAATTTTTCCCTGTTTGAATATTTCACTACAGCCACAAATCTCGAACCATACCCTCTTTCAACACAAGACCATTAATTGCTCCTCTTCTCAAATTTTGGCAACTAACAGGTACGAGTGAAAGTTGAAGATCTATAGATTCGACAAGTCCGGATGAAAATTGTATTGCTTTGATTTCTTTGTCTAAGTTGGTTTTGCTGTTGTACGTTGTTGTGGTGGATTTATCGGTGGTGTTTGGTGGTCGCCAGTGGTGGTGGGTCGGTTTCGATTTTTTTTTTTTGGCCGGTGGTCGACAGTTGACGACGATAATGTGTTCTTTTTTTTGGGTGGGGTTTGCTGTGGGGTGAGGTGGGGGTTGGTGATGAAGAAGATAGTTTTTCATTTTATTTGTTTGGTTTTTTATCTAAGTTTTTAATTATTTTATAGCAAAAATATTAAATTATTGTTTTGCCCTTATAAATTTATTAAAATGTGGTCAAAATTAATTTTTTGGTCAACTAACATCAGATTGGATGGAAACAGTCCATTTGGGCCTTAGCTGTTATGATTTGAAAGATTTGGGGTTGACTACTGCAACGATTGAAAGATTAGGAAAAAGTGCCATTGCTTGAAAGGTTTGGAGTCTCACATGCAATTATCCCAATTTAACTTAAAGACTATCAAAGCAAAAGAAAAATTGGCCAGGTCCTCCTACAGCCTGTCGTCAATTCTTAAAATTATCTTAAAATGAACACTGCAGGGGCATTGACTAGTTTTACCCATAAGAACGTAGATCCATCATCCATGTAAATCTTTGATGATGTTTATCCAAAACCCCTTCCCAATGTATACAGCCAGGTGGCCATACTTTGCTACCCAATTAAACGACAGCATTTCCTCTATAAATTTCCCTCGTCAGCTAAAATAAAATTCAACCCAAAATCTCAATCTTCTTTCAATTATATGGCTTCTAATGCAACAGACATACCGCCTTTCTTCCGCATCTACGAAGATGGCAAAGTCGAAAGGTACT